ATTACTGTACTTGGCTATACTCTTCAGACTGCTGAAGGGTTCCATTGATTTCATGAGAGATTCTTGATACTAGGCAATACATTTCAGTCCTTTACACTAATATAGGGAACAGTTGAGGCTTTATTATCAGCTGTGAAAGGCTAGACCCTGTGAGCACAAAATGTTCCACAGCTGACCATAACAAAAGCCCAACAAGCTATAGCAGAAGGCTGAACGAAACCTTATTGAGACTTCATTATTGCAAGTGATCAGAGTTCAGTGCCATCTCTAAGAAATGTGTTTTTTGCTGCTGAAATCTCATTTATCAGCAAGTATATGCTTGTTCTTAGAAAAGCCTTTTAGTAAGCACAGCAGATAACTTTCTTTGTTGTTAGTTAGCCAAAATGTTTTATGAAATGTTGCATAGCAGCAAAATACTGATGAAAGTAAAATATTGTGATATAAAGATGAGAAGCAAATCACTTTAAAGAAATTTCAGGAAAACTATGTTGTGAGCACTGTCCTTCAACACAGATGGTTTCAAGAAATTTGCTTTAGATTATTGATTGAGAAAATTGGAAATGTTTTGTACTATACCAAATTTTGGCAACAGGAATTGTATGAAATGGTGACAGTCATGTATACTGCATTCCATGATGTGTGACTCCTTAGTCTATGGGTCTTCAGACTATGGCCTGCGAGCCGGATCTGGCCCAACATGCCCATTATCCAGCCCGATTCAGAGTTTTGGACTCCCTGCACCCGTGCCTGCCACGACCGCCCGCCTCACCGTGCACGTGCTTGCCACTGCCTCGCTCACTTGCTCGGAGAGATCTTGGAGATCTCTGAGCGAGCGAGTCGCTGCCTTGCCGGGCACACCTGCCACTGCCTTGCCATATGCACGCCGCCACCTCGCTGCTCATGCACGTGCCACCACCACCTCACCAGCCCGCGAGCACCCCCACCTCACTGGCCCGCGCACGCTGCCTTTCAACTGGCCCCCTGTTGAAAAAGTTTGAGGACCCCTGCCTTAGTCATTAGTTTTAACATGTTACTGGTCCTGACTGAAATTTTACATTGTTGTACAGTCTAGATAGTGCCCTTCTTTTAATACCCCCCACCCTGCTGTCCCCTTCACTTTTGGAATTTTAAAAGGATTTTAATATCACATTTTCAATTGTTTGAGAATTTGCATGCATTCCCTAAACCTAGTTTTATGATCCTGAGTAGTTCATCCCATTTTTCCACCCAAAATTGGCACAGTGCATTCAGTTTATCCAGATGTATTTGGGTGCAGTAGCCCAAAATTAATATTTATTAAGAAAAAGAATTTATAAAATCTGAATTCCTAAGAGAGATACAGGAATTACACAAAAATTAGAATAAGTGACTTTAAAGGAGGAATCTGATCTTATTTGGATGTACCCTTAATTAGGCAGGTTTCATAAGTGTACAGCATATGATTTGAATCTAACCTGCAGTTAATTTGAGTACTGGAGTTAATATATATATTATCACATTTCCCTGTAATTCCTCCTCAGGTTATTAATTTTATTGAAGTAGCCTCCATGTGGCAAAAGTGGGCTAGAACTACTCTGTCCCTAAACTAATATTGCATTAATGTTCTTGTGTCTGATTTTAATCTTATGAAGGCATATTTATGCATAGCAGAGATCACAGAAGAGCTATAGAGGAATGCCATTCTGTGGTGATATTCTCCTGGTAAAAATAGTGTAGAAAGAATATAGTTTACACAAATACCTTCACCACCTATAAAATAGCAATGAATGCTTAATGCCAGATAGGACTTTTATTTTAAAGGCAGTTTTTGCCTAATTAATATTTGGATATGAATCTGTTTCTATTAGCATGGATTTGATTGAGTCATGCTGATGTATGTATAGCATCCCTCATGGTGTGAGAGAACAGTGGTCTGTTTCAGAATTTTTGCTTTTCTGGACAGCATTTTGGATGCTTAGTAACTTGCAAAAAGGACCTCATTTTTAGGGGAAAATAGCCAAGTATGAGATTATAAAAAGCCCCTTTGAAGCAAGTATCTCTGCTCAAAAAGCATTTCCCCCTATTTTGACTATGTTACCTGTTTATTATGTATCTGTATAATATTGTATAATATTATATTATTTATAATAATAAAAGGATTTCTCAGAAAGTCTAGCCTGACAAATGTCAAAAGGAAAACTAAACAATATTATATCTTATGTTACATAAAGATGTCCTAGAAGGAACTGTATCTTCTTTTTTAAATCTTAGAAAAGGTTATGTTGAAGAGACACATTCAGAAAGGTTGTGAGATCCTAATTGTAATTATCAGGTTCACTTTCATTGACTGAGGAATAATCTCATTGACTTTACTGTGATTGCATTTCAAAAACTAGCTGCCTGTTGAAGTTTTAACCCATTCAATTCATTGGTATACAGTAGTTCAGCTTTTTAAAAAGTACATTTGAAAAACAAATTTGCTTATCCATCTATTAATTTTTTGCTTAAAGCAGATGCTCAGTGTAAGTTACAAGTGTCAGATCAATAAAATGTCTACCAGTGTTCAATAAACACTGAAAGCAGCAAGAATAATAGATAAATGATAATTATGAATTGTATTGCCACAGGTAAACTATAGCTGTTACCTCCAGAGGACTGAGAAAATGGAAAGGGGTTCTGGAGGTAGCACTAGTTCTCTGGAACACCCTCACAGAATTACAGAATAATAGAGTTGGAAGGAACCTAGAAGGCCATTGGGTCCAACCCTTGCTAGCGCAGGACACCAAGTTATACCATCCCACTCAAATGTCTGTTCAGTCACAGCTTGAATGCCTCTAGTGTGGGAGAGCCCACAACCTCCCAGGGTAATTGGTTCTATTGTCATACTGCTTGAACAGTCAGGAATTTTTTCCTGATAGCTAGTCAGAATCTCGTTTCCTATAACTTAAGTCAGTTATTCTATGTACTGCCCTCTGGGACAATTGAGAACAAATCTTGTCCTCCCACTACAAGCCTTTCAAGTACTTGTAGAGGGCTGTCATGTTCCCTCTCAGTCTTCTCTTCTCAAAGCTGAACATGTGCAGTTCTTCTTCATGGCCTCTGTGCATCACACATATGAGCCTTGTGTCTGCACAGAGCCTGTTGTTGAGAAATACTTACAGAGCTCCCCCATTAGTCTTCTCAAGGCTGAACATGCCCAGTTCTTTCCTATGCAAGGTTCTGCAGTCCAGCAAGCAAGAAAATGGTTTTGAACTCAACTCCAAGTAAGTTCCTTGTAAATGCACAGCAACCTAATTGGAAGTAATCTCCAATGACATCAGTGGAACAAATGTCCAAACCCCCACTCTTCTTGTAGAAAGTAACTAAAATTACTGAAGACAGATTAAATTCTCTCTTCCAATAGAGCAAGGATGGACAATATTGTTACATTCTGTCTCAAAACAAGTGGTAAGTGAGAGACACTGTGGTGTAGTGGTTTGAGTGAGGGACTGCGTTCTAGTCCTCAATGCTCTCTGGGTGACTGTGGGTCAAAAACTTCCTCTCAGCCTGATCTAGCTCACAGGTTTGTTGCTGTGAAGATAAAATAGAGAGGAAAAGACCCTGTTAGCTTCCTTGGTTCCTTACAATTATGTAAGGGGATGAAAGGTAGGGGATAAATCTAATGTAGTAATAATAATAAATATATTTGAGAACTAAAGCAACTCTTGTTATCACTTTATATAGATTTTCTGTTACATTGAAGTTTGTTGACTTGTGTGGATCAAGGTTTAATTTCCCTTTTCTGTATAAAACAAGGACATGTTTGTTCAATCGAAAACTAACATTCTCTCCTGAATTATGTATACAAGAGTTCTGGAGCTGTTACAACCTATTGTGTTAAATGCTTTATTGAGCCAAGTAGTACAAAAGTATGGGAGGTTATCTGAAAATGTTTTTCAAAAAGGGATATATCATTTTAAACATTGCTGCCTTTTCTGCACTTAAATTCCCTCACTCACATATGTTCAAAACTAACAAGTTAGCAGACTTCATTTTTTGTATCTCTCATTTCCAGAATTGTTTTCACTCCACACACACACACGCGCACACACACGGGGACAGGGGGTTGGCAAATTATAGCCATCCAAGTGTTTTGACTTATAATTTTAATCAGTATAAAGATTAAATCAGGCAGCTTAATTAGGGATGGTGGGCATTGTAGCTGAAATATGTGGAGGATCACAAGTTGTTTAACCTCTGACATAGGGAAAAAAAGACACTTCAACAACACCAAGTGTTCAGAAGTACCCTAGTTTCCATTCTTGCTGGTGAATGAATTTGATCTGTACAAGGGATGGGGTTGGTTTCTAGCAGCCAAAGTTTGAAGTTAGTTAATGTTCCAGCTCTTGATTTTAAAATGTTGGCCTCTTTATTGCTATGGAACAATTCTAGGGCAAATAGAGCTGAGGCAAAACCTGACTGATCAGGATGGAGCCAACATGGTATCTAGAAGGTAAGGGGTGGAGCTGGGGAGACATACCTAAAGTAGAACATGGCTGGTTATGGATAGGACCTGTCAGAATGTGCAATTTATCCGCTTTGAGTTGTATTCATTGTTAGCCTAAATCAAGCCTCATTCATTTCAATGGGACTGCTCTAAGTAGGATAACATTCAATACAGCTCTTTACTAGTTACTTAGAACACATAGTTTTACTGACTAGACCAGTAAAATACTGATTGGCTGGCAACCCAGTAAAACCACAAAACCTATCAGAGGGGAGATACGTTGTAGGATGGGCACACTAATCTAAACAGCTAAAGCAGACTGCTTTAACTTCTGAGCCACACACTTGCATCATATAGCAAGTGGTTGTTGGAGAAATACGTATTAGGGAAAGTAAAACACAACTGGTTCAGTTTTACAGAATATTTTTAGCCTTAGAAACCATTTGCAAACAATTTTTGGCTATCCCTGCAAATAAGACTGCTTGCAAGCTTGATGCCATGTTGTTCATCATTTGTGTTTGATGTGCATTTACAGTGTCCATTTATGGAATTTGGTTTTATGATAAGGAAGAATGCCAAAGAATTGCAGAGCTCATGAAAAAGTAAGTCTTGATGGGCAAATAAGATTGGGGATTTTATTTATATTTATTTTATATGCTATATGCTATATCACTATTACTGTTGTGAACATTTTAACATTACCCTCTCCAAGGTAAAATTGCCAACATAAGCACTCAGATCATAGGGTCAACTAAGGGTACAGTCCTGCAACTTCTTAGATCACCTCAGGGGCCATCGGATTATTCGGCATCCCAGCTCTGAAGTCCTGTGAGCTCTTTGCTGGGACTCTGAAGGCTGCATTCCTCCCCAAAGTCACAAAGCAACCTTGGAGAGGAGGTATAGGGGTGTGATAGCTGGGCTGGTGAGGCAAGGAGGCTGGTCCCAATGGCTTATGCTATATCCAAATGACGGTGTAGCTGCCGCCACTGCCGCCGCCGCCTCCCCCCTCTCCCTCTTCTGCTTCATCAGTGGCCAAAAATGGCTGTCTAAATGAAATCAAGGGCAAAACATAGCAGTACTTTAACTTGCTTCATATATTGGATGGATGTAAGCCTCCAAGTTTGGTGCTTACATGCATCATGGATTAAGAACCTTGGATTGCTTGGACAGAAAAAGATCTTATAATTCCTAGCATTCCCTCCTAGCACTTTTTTCTAATAAACAGTGGAATGTCATCAGCATATTGGTGACTACTCAGTCCAGATTCCTAGATGGCTTTGCCTAGTGGCTTCATATGTATGTTAAAGAGCATTAGGGACAATGTGGAACCAAGCAGGGCCCCAGAACTGAAATGGCATGAAGTTGAGAAGAGGTCCTCAAACATTACGTACTGCAACATGCCCTGAAGGTAAGAGGGGAACCGGCTGCTAGAGCCATCCAGCAAGGTACCATGATATCCCAACCAGAGTTCAGGGTTGAGTTGTTCCTGCTCTTGAGATAGAAGTCACCAATCTAGATAACCAATACTGTTTCAGTACCAAACCACTGCCTATACCCAGATTGACTCAGGGCTAGAAAGTCTATTTCATCACAAAATGCCTGGAACTGGGCCACCACTACCCTCTCAAGCACCTTCCCAAAAGGGGGATATTTATGACCAGGTGATAACTATTACCAGCTTTCAAGTTTAGCAAGGCTTTCTTAAGAAATGGCCTCACCTCAGGCTGCATCAAGTCAGCCAGGCTCACTTCCTCTCTCAATTAGGCGTTAAAAACCTCCTGGACCCACCAGCCAGCCTTAACTTGCTAGACATACAAAGTCAAAAATGGGCAAGAAGGAAATTTTTGCATTGACTTCTTAAAGCACTGTGCCCATACCTTCAGACTGGTCTAATTGAAGCTCATTTCATTGAACCAGCAAAAAAAGTGCTCTGGTCACAACCTCTAAAACTGGATCAATGGAATTGTCTTGATTACAGTGAATATAGTGGCCATATATTCATATATATGCACACTCAAAATACTTAGCAGATTTGACACAGCAGACCATCAAGGTTTAAAACACATCCCATGTATTACCTTTTTTATTTAATGTGTACCACTTTGCTCCTACTTACATCAAATGTAACCTGCCATTTTTTTTTTTTTTTTCTATTTCCTCAGTTTGGAGTGTTTCTTCTGGGGCTCTTGACAGTCTGCTTTGGATTTCATATCCTGCATAATCGGATTTCATCTGCACACTTGATTATTTTGTTGCTTTCCCCTGACTTCAGGTCATTAATGAAAAAGCTAAATAATACCCGTTGATACAGACCCTTACACAGATCCCATACACATGCTGCAATATGTTAGTATGGGACTAGCTTGTTTTCACATCATGAATGTGCTAAAAAGGGGCAGGCACTCTAGTTTGGTCTGTGAGCTGGATTGCCCCCATCCACTGGGCCGAGCTGGTGGGTCGGATGGCATCAAAAGGTTGGGGCTTCACCAAAAGCCTTTCCTTTTCCCATGACATCATCTTATCCACTCCCACCGACTTTTCCCCCCTCCATGCAGAGTTTATTGCATGGAGAAAGCAACTTGGCTGGTGCTTTCAGAAACAGATTTCTACAAGTGCTGACTGAGTCTTTCCCATTTCATTGGTGTTTGAATTGGGATGTAGTTGGCACAGGAGGGACTTGGCTGGCATTTTCAGGAAGTGGCCCTATATGCCTGCTTGAATTAGCCATCACCTTCCTAATTCATGTCTTAATCAGGGTTCAAGTGGCACTGGACAGACTTGGCCAGGTTTTCAGGATCTGGTTCTGCAAGCCCCAGCTAAGTACAGGGTAATGTGTGTGGAACCTCTAGTTATCTTTGGTCAGAGATCATAAATAATATGGCAATTCATTTCCAGGGTCATTAGGCAGGACTTGGGAGGAGGTCATATTCAGCAACCACACCAGCTGCATTCAGTCTTTGGGCTGGAAGATGCATTCCATTTTGCTAGTAGATCTTACCCATATTCTTAACATATTCTACTCACTCTGTTCAATACACTTAGGTCTGAGGAAGAAAAAGAGGTGGCTGTATTGAGCTAATTGTATGGGGACTGTTTGCTTTGTATTTACTAACCATGTATTATGCTAGTGTTTGGTTGCAGTGAAGAACATTACAATAGATACATCAGAAAGAAAAGATTACGTAAGATTTTGGGAGAAACAAAATGCCATTCCTGAGAACCGTATATGGTAGCGTTTTACCAAGCTAAAACTACAGTGTAGTTCAGCTAAGTTACTATGTGTAGTTCAGCTAAGTTACTATGTGTTAGGATTCTTAGCAGTTTGCAGTAATTATAAAACAGTTGGGGCAGGAAATTGGTCATTCAGTAGCTGTTAAAGAATTATATGTGTGTATTTACCATGCTGCCCTCACCAACAATCATAAAATGAACTGCAGTTTAATTTACCTCTTGGCTATACAAGTTCTGAATGAGTTGGGGATATTCAAGACTTTAACAGTCCAATGTGCACAAAATTGGAGAAATCACATTATCAGCCTTGGCAAAACTTAGTTTCTCCTACATTATTTGAAGCACTTCGGGAATGAACTTTATTTTCCTTATTCATTTCTGATTTCACCCTTCATTTCCAGTTTAACTCAGCAAGAACAACTGAAAGCACAGCAGGGGGCTGGGATAGGAATGTCCCCAGTAACCCTGAATTTGGGTGACAGCAAAGAAGTGGATATCCTACAGATGCTCACCAAAGCCAAAGATGAATATACCAAGGTGAGGCTTACCATGTGTAAAACAATGTCACACTCTCGCTTTGATAGTTAGATCTTCCATTGCTTCAGTTATTTATTGTATTTTTATTTAAAAGTTTTCTATACCACCATTCATTAAAAATTTCTTGACAGTTTACGCAACATTATCACATGATGGTTATATAAATGTATTGCAGAGGATTAGTTTGCAGATATTTCAAATACCAGTTCCTTATTTTCCATAGCATGCACCAAGCCAGAGTGTCTAGTCATACAGGAGAAGCAGGTCTGGTACTAGCAGGCAGCATCCGTAGTGAGTTGCTAAGGATCATGCCCTGGCACTCCAGTGAGTTTTCTGAAACTCCAATGAGTGCCAGGTGGCTGCCATTGTAATTTCTCACAATGCTCTGGAAAACTGTGAATGATTACATTAGGAACTGCTGGTACAGATTAGGGAAACATTCCTAGCATTTCTCCCTACCTCTAGTAGACCCACTTTCTGATATGGTGGCCGCCAGGCTGGGGATCCCTTAGGCCTTGGCTAGCCATAAAGGTAAAGGTTTCCCCTTGACGTTAAGTCCAGTCATGCCTGACTCTAGGGGGCGGTGCTCATCTGTTTCCTAGCCGAGGGAGCCAGCTAGGAAAGCATCCGTGGTCATGTGGCCGGCATGACTAAACACCAAAGTACATGGAACGCTAGCCATATGAGGCTGTTAAGTGCCACTCCTTCGATGCATCCTTGCAGGCAGCATTTTGATCTTGGAGGTACCTTAAAAGATGTTTGGATTTGCAGTTTTGTATTGATGGTAAAAACTGCAGCGGTATGTGTGGATTTTCCTCAATCCAAGTATGAGCATTGCCCTGCTGGCTCAGATCAAAGTCTGTGTAGTTTCATTCTATTCAGTTTCCAGCTGTGGTCAGCTAGATGCTTCTAGAAATCATACAGGCAGGACAGCTGTGGTTGTGGCCATTCCCTGTTGTTTCTCCCCAGCCTTTAGGAGATTATAGGCAGTATTCAACAGTGTTATTCTTCACACTCAAATAGCAGTTGCAGAGCTCCTATTTGCATCTTTCAGTCATGCAAGCAGATGCTTATTATTATGCTTGTACAACTACACCTAAACTGTTGGCTTAAATGGCTTTGGAAATATTATTCATTTAGTACCTTTAGATACTGCTTTCTGCCAATGTACTCAAGGAGGTACATTAAGAGGCTTACCTTTTAATAGACATGAAACAAAAGTGATATGGGACAGGAAGAAGAGAAAAATAAGAAAAACCATGTACTGCCATCAGTATATGAGACAGTTCTGGGAGAAGAGCCATATGGCACTAGATAAATTCATTAGGGATAGTTTCATCGGGATATTGGTCATGAAAATAAATGGAATATCTACATTCAAACACAGTATATCTTTAAATATTAGCTTCTTGGGACAAGAAGTCTATGGCTGTGGCCTCCATACCCAACATACTTAGGCTTCTCCTAAGTACAGTTGGAAACAAGAAACTGGGCTAGTCTGCTGCAGTAGGGTTCTTCTTAGTTCTTGTTGTTTTCTTGAGAGAGATCAGATTTGCTTGTACCATAAAAATGTCATTGGTGATGCACCTTTATCTTAGTTAATTTCACTATTTTTGCTGCAGTGAGACCTATACAGTTATATTTGCTGTAGGATATCATAGAGGTGGAAAAACTGCAGAAAGGAGCAACTAAAATTATCAAAGTATGGGAGCAACTACTCTATGAGGAAAGGTTACAACAATCTGGGATTGTTTAGTTTACAGAAAAGGGAGACATGATAAAGGTGTACATGCTATGCATGTTATGGAGAAAGTGGCTTTGGAGACATTTTTCTCCCTCTCTTGTCATTCCAGAACCCAGGGTCAACCTGTGGGAGATTCAGGACAGATAAAAGATATACTTCTTCACATAGTGCCCAGTTAAATTATGAAAGTCATTTCCACAAATTGTCATGATGACCACCAATCTTTTTAATGTATATTTTAACTGTGAATTTAAAAACAAAAAAACCAAAAATTAAAAAACAAATTTGCATTGCTTAAAAGTTAAATGTACCAGTTGTAATCAGTACACATGGAATTTATACACCTATGTATAACATGTGTATAAGGAAATATACTATTGTAAGTGGTGTATATGTTTCAACTTAGGCAGGCTAAATAGTTCTACATTTATTTATGCATTGTTGATGCCTAATTGCTATCCATTCAAGAGTCAATGAGTCCTCAGTCTACTGTATTATTTGGTGTGACCATTTATCCTTCCAATATCACAGCTTTTACAAGGTCATGGAAAATCTGTTAATACTGGTGTTCTATTAGATTCCAAGAAGCAGGTAGATAATTAAGTAAAATGTGTACATCCATAAATGGTAAAGAGCTTGTAACACCAAATTGGCCATATTATAACCTCCTTCCAAAAGGAGGCAGCTGCCGGGCATTGTCATAATATATAGGTGAAGGAAGCATTAGCTGTAACAAATCTCCAGCAGTCAGCCAAACCTTTAGTGAAGAGATTTTGTGGTGGCCGATAACATAGAACAATAGTGGTTGCTGGACAAGACATAGCCTACGAACCAATGGCAGTGCCAAAATGAATGCAAATACAAAATCCCATTGATAAAGCAAAAAAGGGCAATCTGTTTCCTTAATCCATTCTCTCTAAAGTCTTGCATATAATTTTTATTCACCAATAATATTTATATAAGCCTACTTATATAGGATGGTAAATCTGATCAGCCTTAATAAACACTTATAAAAGTGGAGGTGAATCTAAAGCATCAAAATGTGTGGGGTCAAACAAATGTTTCAACTGTTTTAATGGTGTTGGTCACCAATCTATATGAATTTAAAAGGGGAATGGGCAACTCCATGGAAGATAATGCTATCAGTAGCTATTAGTTTTTCGTCATGGCCTCTGTGCATCACACATATGGGTTGCTGCACCTGCGCAGTGCCTAGGCCAGAAGATTAGAAAGCTAACGGTTTTTGGCAGGAAAACTCCACTCCCCTCCCCCTTCGTGGTATAAATAGAGCAGAGTGTCCTCCATTTTGCTCAGTGTTTGCGACCGTCGTTCGCTGTGCCTCGTGCCTGTTCGTCTCTCGCTATAGATCTGTGCCTCTTCGTTGTTTTTTCTCAAAAAGTTTAAACTTCTCTTGCTCCAAGTTTGTTCTTCTCCCCAATTCTGTCCGTTTTCTTCTTGAATTCTTTCTCTCTATATAAAAAAAAAAACAAAAAAACAAAAATATTATCTTACCCTCTATACTTTCCTCTTTTCTTCATTTTTCCGCGATGGCACAGCGGGCGGCATTCCGCAAATGTATTGAATGTGGATCTAAAATGTCGCCGGCCGATCCACATGATCTATGCCTCCTCTGCCTCGGCAAGGGGCATAGGACCGACAAGTGCGGTCATTGCTTGTCGTTTACCAAGCAGGCGTGGAAAAATAGGGAGAATTGCCCCAGAAAGCTCCTATGGGAGCAGGCATTAATGCAGTCCGACCAACTGCTCTTACGGCCTGCTTCCTCTTCGTCCGCACCTTCTCAGTGCTGCTCCTCCACCCTGAGCGCTCCAGCAAAGCGTCCTTCCTTGACCTCTGCCGACCCTCCTCAGTATCCTTCGGACGAGGGCGCCACTTCTGTGGGGGCTCAGTCTCTGCCTTCTCCCCTGACTAAGAAACAGGAGAAGCGCAAGCATACCAGTTCGGATAAAACTTCCACCCATAAGAAGTTGAGGAAGGAAAAGGTGGGTAAGCCCGCTCGCAAGAGCAAGAAACCTGACTGCCCAAAACAACAAGGCTCAGGTTCATCGGGCTTTTCGGCATCGACGGCCACCACGGTACCAACCCCCTCGGGACTGGCCCTGCAACTCGTTATGCAGGTGACACCACCAGGATCCCCCAGGCCAACTGCTCGGCCTGAGAGTGTGCCTTCCCAGCAACAGGAGGAGCCACTTCGGGAGTCCATCTCTGATGGTGTAATCAGAGACTCCCTGCCAAGGGAACGCTCACCAACACCCTTGCCACCAACTGAATCTCATGTGGCCTCACCATTACCTCCCAGAGGTCGCAGCCGTTCATCCGAGCGTCGAGATGAAAGTTGGTTGCTTCCGGGATATGGTGCTCCCCCCGGTTGGGGTGGGTACCAGCCATATCCCTATTTCCCTCGTGAGCATAGATTACCATCAGTCCTGAGGGATGTGCTATCCACCTCCAGGCGTATGGAGACGAGTCGCCCAGCCTCCCCTGAAACCTCCTCCTCAAACGACGACCGGCCACACTACATGGAAGACTCCGAGGACTTGGAGGTCGACTCCACATCCCCTGATGTGGCTGTCGCATATCAAGGGCCTGCTTCACCCGATGAACCTCATGTCTTGTTCACAGAGCTCATGTCCCGCTTGGTTCGTTCCCTTGAAATCGAAGCCCATCAACAGCCAGGCCCTTCGATAGATCGCTTCTATGACGTCGTTCGGGGAGAGCAGTCGGCATCCATAGCTCTGCCGCTTATAACTACACTGCGCCAGGCTATGGTCCAACCCTGGGACCAACCGGCCCAACCACAAGCGACTTCCCACAGATATGAGGCTATGTATAGAGTTCGGGACGATGACATTCCCTTCCTGCTCCGTCACCCAAAACCGAACTCTCTTGTGGTTGAATCCTCCCAGGGCAGGGAGTCCAGGGGACATACCGCTCCTCAGGACAAGGAAGGGAGGAAAATCAATATGCTTGCGCGCCGAGTCTATGCGGCCTCTGGACTCGGCATGCGCATATCGAACTATGAAGCGACACTGGCACGTTACCAGTACTTTATCATGCAGAAACTGGATAATGTCGCTTCCTCCCTTCCAGACCACCAAGCGGACCTTGCCAGGGTTTTTATTAAGGAGGCGATGCAGGTGGTGGTACAACAGCTGTCTACCACTCGTCACCATGTAGACACGGATTCAAGGGCCCTCGTCAACGCCATCTCGCTACGCCGACATGCGTGGCTGCGCAA